CACACACACACACAAACAAACGCAGCAAAAACCACAATCCCCAAGTGAAATCAAACAACAACATTTTCAAGAACACTGTGGTTTCATGCTTATGCTAATGAAAAAGTCTACAAGAAGAAGACACACAGAAAAAAGTACACACACCCACACAAACCTCTCTCTCTCTTCACTACCTTGTCTGAAGCTGGAGTCGAAGGGCTGGGAGCCCTCCAGATCTAGGCCATTTGTGATTGGCTGCAAGCTCAGGTCAATCACCTGGTGGAGGCGGAGCTTACGGCAGTAAATGGATGCAGCTTCAGGTTCCAGAGCGATGAGGAGCTGCTCGGGACAGTCGGGAGACACCAGACCAGCCTGGAGGAGCAAAGAGAGGGAGAAATTTACAAGCAGAATTGTATGACCCTGCTGTGCTTTTGATTGTACTGAGATACTAAAGAGACAAAGAAAGTTAGACGTACATGTAGACTCTGCTTTGGTGCATATATAGGCCTATATTTAGTGCACGCCTACTTATGAGGAGCTGGTATATAGTATAAGAATTAGGCTTAATGTATTGGGAGTAAAGTTGAGTGTCTGGAATGATGTGTGTGCATGTGTGTGTGTGTGTGTGTGTGTGTGTGTGCAGGGCGGGGGTCTGGACACCTCTTCCTGTGTTTGTACGCCGGTCTCCCTCATTGTTCACTTCTGATGACATCATCACCAGCAGGAAGCACACACACCCCAACGGCCTCAAGCTGGGAGCCAGCACAGGGTGTGTGTCAGTGTGCATATGAAAGTGTGTATGCATCAGACTATTTATGTATGTGGCCGGGTGAGTGAAGGGCATTATGAAAGATAATGGTTAACACATTGATCTCTGTGTGTGTGTGTAAGTGTGAGAAAAGTGAACAGAGAGAGAACAAGAATGACGAAAGCGTGACATTAAAAGTAAAAGGTTGTAAAGCCTCTCCCAGGGACTATCGGTAGTACACATTCACTATTACCCACACACACACACACACACACACACACACACAGGTTCATTCATTTTCATTGATTTGCGATGTGACAGGACCCCCTGCATTCCTATCCATGTGCGCACACTTCCTACAAGTCATTGTGACATGTACAGTACAGCAAGGGGGAGTGTGTGGTGGGAAGATATTCAGGGAAAGTGCAGCGTTGTGTGTGTGTGTAGTAAGTGATCCATGGGAAAATTAATCAGACAGCCTTTATCTTATGCATTAAACACTGCCTTTCTTTCCATCTCCCTGTTGTTCTTCCTCTCTCTCTGTCACACACACACACACGCACACGCACATGCACACACACACACACACACGCACACACTGTTTTAGTCCTACAACATGAAACTATAGTTACAATAATATACTTGCAGCTAATGATGACTAGTCTTTAGACAGTCAAAACCACAAATCTCTAAAATCTCAGTTGTTCATGCAAAAAAAACAGCCTTGATTTAAGCTGAATTAAAATGTATTTTTGTTTGAAATTCAGTGGCTTTTTGGAGAGTAAAAAATGAAATATAACATTTCCAGAGGGGGAACTGTGTTACAGCAACACAAAAAAGACAGAAAAGTAATTTTTTTAAATAAAAAAAAAGAAAACTACAATATAAATTCAACCTTAAACTAAAGGAGCAGTATGTAGGATTGCAACTAACTGAACACTGCTTGCGTCTGTGTTTGACAACGTGGAAATGAGGACGGGCTGTGAAGTGTGCAGGATAAACTACTGTGGCCACGAAAGGCCTTATCTACAGCCAGTGCTTAGTACTTCACAGAGGGCAACCTGCGGCGTCTGTAGACATAAACGATCATTCTAAGGTAACAAAAACACAATGATTCCTATATTCAGGTGATTATACACTGAAAACATTCTCCTAAATGTTACACACTGGACCTTTAAATATAAAAGATTTAAGTTAGCTACATCTAATGCTGGATTTATGTATGTGTCAATGAGTGTGTGTTCCTACGAGGTATGCAGCCTCTCTCATGAACTGTTTGGCAGGTTGTCTCCACACAGCGGGGACGGTGATGACCCATCTGATCTCCTCTCCTTCCAACACTGAAGACGACTGGTCCTTCACCTCCTGAAGCAGAATCAATGAAGCACTTTCTTTGGTAAATAAAGATATGAGCCTCTATCAAAGCAAAGCACTCTATGTGCTACATGAGCTAAGTAAGTGTTCATATATATATATATAGATATAAGCCGTATCCCAAAAAAAATCACACACATATAAGCAGCTTACTGCAATCATAAGCTGGGGCTTTAACGTGTACCTTTAGAGCGTGTTCCCTGAAGAAGTGCAGGGCGTGAGCAAACACTTCAATGGCCCTGACCCTTCGACCATTGACCGCCTCCAGCTCCGTCTCCATGGTGAGGTCCTGCAGCAAACACAGGACCCAAACTGCTGAAACGCTGCTGCAAGAACAATTCATCTTTCTGATACTTAAAATCTTAAAGAGGTACTTTAATATTGCACTTTCATAAAGTTGGAAGACGAGAGAGACATGAGTAAAAAAAGACAAATGGTCAAAATTTAAGCTGCAGAGGCCAAGCTATTAGGGTTGATTTATACTTCTCATAACTAATACATTGATATGGATGTGTAAAATTGGCTTTCTGTCACTACCAGCTGATTCTCCTGATCTCTCTTACACTTGTGCTGTGGATCTTCATCTTGAACTTATCAAAGTAGAGCCAGTGCCGGGCCTCCTCTGGGTCCAGGTCGTGGTAGAAGTCCCGGGCAGCAAACCCAAAACTGTGGAACCGCAAATCAGGAGTCAGCAGCAGACACGTCGGGCTCTTCTGATTGGCCACCCCAGGGTCGCCGCCCTCCCAGCGCCTGTATTGATTGGAGGAATAAGGTGTCAAGGGTAGAAAATAATTGAATATAATAGAATTGAAAGACAAAAAACACAGACTCTTACTTCATCATGTGTATGGCTTCTGAGTCCTGTGTGAAGCTGAAGGCGTAGCCGCTGGATGTCGTCCCAAAGTCTATCGCCACGACAACTGAGAAGGGACAGGCCATCCTGGGTCTGACCTCCACCCTCTGAGAGAGAGAAAGAAGGCCAGAGAGAGAGGGAGATTTACAGATGAACTTATAATCACTTCTGTACTCATTCATCTCTTTCCTGTTTGTAAAATTTAGTGCAGACATTAATGTCTCCCTCAAGATTACATGTAAAGACTTTCCTTTATCTAGCGCCATCACCAGGTCAAAGTTTGAATTTGTCCTTTATACTTTGTTTTATGACTTAATACTAAAAACTGATATTCCTATTATCCTCAGCTGTTTAGCACGGAAGCCCTGAAAAGCAAGTGAAAAACAAAATTCATGTTTTCACCGATAAAGAAAGAATATATATTATATATTTCGCCTGTTTTCATAGATGCAAAAAATTAAGAACCTATAATGCTACTTTCACTACTGAAAAAAAAATTTCACAGGTGAAAAAAAAACTTGCCTTTCAGGGCTTCCATAGTTAAGTGCCGATTAGCAAACATTATCTACCACTATCACAAATTGAATAGGCTAATGTTGATGTTTCTGTCTGGAAAATCGGCATGGGTGGGATTGAACGCCTCTTACATTTCAGTAATAACTAGTTTCTATCAGTGGAAACAGCGTAGAGTTATAAGGATGGCTTTGAAATCAGAAGCTGTTTTTCATGGACTATACTTTTTTCTCCATTAGTAGTTGTGAGAGTTAGCACCAAAGCGTATATATTTCTTCCCTACAGTCTTTATTGGCTCCTTGTTTTAATCCTACACATCACTTAAAACTGTGAGTGTAAGTGTTATTATAAACCACTAATAACAGTGAGAAATGGATGTGGGTTTACAGGTCATGTTTAAGAGCTCTATATAAAGAAAATAAGGGTGTGTAGGAGTGTCTGTGGTAAGTGTGTGTGTGTGTGTTGTGTGTGTGTGTGTGTGTGTTGATGTGTGTGGTGTGTGTGTGTTTGGTTGTGTGTGTAGTTACCGGTGAGGGCTGAGGGTGTGAGCGGTGTAATGGCTGCAGTCATTTCCTAGTCAGGTGACGAAGGGGCTGATAAATGATCACCTGGGAATTAATGGAGAAGAGAAAGAGAAATGTAACAATAATGCAGTGGTGGCTAACTATAAAAATCTCACTATTATTTATTTATATTTCAGCATTGGAAAAGCGCCACACGTACTTCACTGGAAAATGAGCAGAATAGCCAAAAAAATCAGTGTGTTTGATGCGATATGCAGCCATGTGAAAACTCTCTTATCAGAAGGAACGAGCCATTATCGGACTTACTATGAGGTGCTGATACTAACATACATGTACACATGCAGAAAAACACCTTATTTTTCACTCTGAGGGTGAGAGAGTTTGGGCGTAAACACACTTGACCTGAAGCTCCCTGCTGAAGATGTGAAATTGAATATTTGTGATGAACCGGAATGACTGGTATGTAACTGGAATTTGACATGAGTAATATTCCCAGGTGGGAGAGGGACATGGAAAGGTCAACGTGTTCAAGCTCCAAAAGATATGAGAGAGGGAAATGAGTCATTTTGACCAGGTTGCCATAGCAATGCACTGTGTGTCTTACCAGGTATCTGCAGGCTGTTGGGGTCTGGCTGCACCACGTCAGCCATCTTTACAGGAGCCAGGGTCTGCAGAGAGAAACACACCAACATGATGCATATAGAATAATTAATGAGGGGAACATGGTCTATGGTTTCCGCTTCATCATCAGTGTAGAATTTATTTGTGTTGTAGTTTATAGAACTGGACCTGGCAGTAGATCAGGCGTGATTTGTCCAGAATTAAAGGTCTAAATAATAATTTTGCATCCTTTTTGGCCACTTTAAGGACAGCACAACAAGCCTTAAACACAATATTGACATATTATCACCTTATAGACAATACCTTATAAGACATTATGGTGCATGTGTTAGCAAAAAAAATCCTATTTAAACATCCAGCAGATATGAACAGAAGTCCAATATTCAGTAACTTTGTCTGTCTGCAGGTAGCGTACATTAGGTTTTTTGGAGCCTTTTAAATAAAAACAGCTGGAAGTGAGGCTGGAGAGAGTCAAAATCACAACAGTTGTGAGGTATAAATAAAACCAATAAATTAAAAGATATTAAAATGTTCAATAGAGCGGAGGGGAACTGCAGAGTCCTGTGATAATTTCCTATTTATAAGAATATAAATTAGTGCAGGTTTAAGTAATTAACTTGGATGGACCAATCATATTATACGGCCCATATGCAAGCACAATAAAATGGAGAAAGTGATAGCTCAGATGTTAGAGATAGGCGGTTGTGATCATCCAAACTCACTCCCTTGTTTACACATTCACTATTCCCTACATAATAATGGCTCAGCGCTTAGCATTGTTGCCCAACAGCAACAAGCTCCTGAGTTGGATTCCTGGTCTTTCTTGAGGTTGCATGTTCTCCCCGTACTTGTGTGAGTTTTCTACAGGGGAGTCCAGTTCCCCCCACCCTAATCCTCCAGTCAGTGGCTTCTCTAATATTTGGGATGGATTAAATGCACAGGACAAATTTTGATATGTGTTGTATTGTGTATGATTGTATATGTGACAA